TGTGTGTGTGTGTGTGTGTGTGTGTGTGTGTGTGTCCTGTCTGGGATCAGTGTCAGGACGTGTTACTGTGGCTTCAGATCTGCTGGCCGTGGGCTCTCATGGTCACAGATTGTGTGAGTGAGGCATAAAGACTGTGTGAGTTTTGAGTGTGTGCAGTAGTAACAGGTCGTCAGAGAACGCAGTACAGAGGGCGTTAATGAGCATTAGAGAGATAAAGCCCGATAATAAAAAATAAAAAAAAAGGGAGAGAGGAGCAGACCACAGAAGAAAAAAGGAAGAGACGATGGCGGTTACCTTTGGCCTGGGCCGCCGAGCTGTGGGAGTAGCCCAGCGACAGCAGGGCCATCTCAATGAGTTGGTTAAAGAGCATGTCCTTACGCACCAGGACGAACTCAGCGTGCTCCTCCTTGCTGTCGAAGTCCATGGGGTTCTCGTAGTGCTCGACTACACAGAACACAGGCAGCATGTTGCCTGAGGACACAGAGACACAGACGTCAGTGAGAACAGTAAAAATCTCACACGTCTTCACGTGTTAACTTTGACCTTCGGTGTCCGATGCGTTCGCAAAAGGACGCGATTGATGATGAGTGGTGATGATTGAGTTACGTTGAGGGTCAGGGGATCATGAGTACCTGAAAGTCTAACCTCTTGGTCTTTATAACAAACTCAAGGTGAGGAATCAAACTCCTTAGGTGCACGATAATAGGTTTTTCAGCAAGATTGCACAAAATCAACTGATGCGGAGGATGTGGATCCTGGAAGAACCCTGAAAACTTTGGTGCAGATCTGGATCAGGGGTCAGATCCAGGAATTGTTAATCCACTTTCTTTAACTTCGAGATTAGACGTTTTCACTATTTTCTCAAAAACAATTGACGGATAACCCCTTTAAATAAACTATCGGAGGATTCCTTCAGTCTCAGTGTTCGTCTTCCTGGCTGCGACGACGAGCATGAGTTGTGTGTTTAATAAGTACGTTTACATATAAATGGAAAACAAAACGTTTGTTCAGTGTGAAGCAGCCTCGACTCTTATGTCTCCTTTTGGCACAATAAAGTGTTTATTCACTGTGGAGGTGAAGGGATCACATTAGCCTTCTCCTCTGCCTGCCAACCCAAAATCATCTTCCCATGATGCAGCACTTCAAGTCCCGAGCCACCTCTGCTCCCGGTTTACTACCCTGTGTCAACAGTGTCTCTGCTGTGAGGTGGAATGAGCAATCCTTGTCCAAAGACTGCCGAATGTTCAAGTGACCCAATGTGCAAATATCACCCACTGTGTTGTTTCTACTAAAATAACATCCCTGAAATTTAAGAGTTTACTGACACGGGGGCAGCTCAGACTTTTGAAGCCTCGGTCCAAATGGAAACAACCGCAGACAATCGAACTTTTGTCAAAGTGCTAATGAGGGCAGCATCTATCGCTTACTGTACTTAGCAAATCCTGTAGTGTTTATGAGGTGCCCTGTTGCCCCTCGCTCTCAATAGGTCTCCACTAGACTGTCACCTGGAAACATTTCTGTACGTTCATTGTTCGCGCTGATTAAAATGAATCACGCTCTAATATTTTCCAATCCCAGGCATTCCAGAAGATGTACACAGCTCTGGCAAAACAATCAATAAGCCGACAGATGCCAGGGAATGTGCTGAAAGAGCTGCTTTTCTCCTCCCCTGATTTTAATAGATAAAGATCTAACAATAAAGACTGCTGTGTAGGTTCATTTGGGGGATCAATACTGGCTTTGTTTCCAGGGAGCCCAGAGAGGGCTGCTGTAAATATTGTTTCGGGCTCGGACACAATGCCCACTGTGGGCCCTCTGCGAAGCCTCCGCGGCGGACCGCCCACCTCCATCGGCTGCTTCGCCCTTTACCCAGGAAGAAACTTATAAAAAACAAAAAAAAAGAAATGAGAGGAATGGAGCAAGGAGGGGAGAGCAATGAGGAGGCTTGGAGGAGCAAACGTTGCAGGAGGCCAAGAGAAGCAGAGATGATGGAGGTGAAAAATTAGGCTCTCTCAGTTGGAGTGCGACACGTAGATTAAAGGAGCAAATAAGAGAAACGGCCCATCTGAGGACACTCACACAGCCACATTCCAAGAGTTCCTGAGTCCCTCTTGCCCAAAGACAACGAACCAGCCAAAAAAACAAACAGACGAGCCTCAGCCAAGTGCAATAACAACTCCAAACCTGCAGGTTTTCAAACTCATTTCCAACCCACTAAAAACCAAAAAAAACACAACCGTAAAACGGTTCATATTTTAGAAAAACTTTGCCCGCCGTGTTTTTCACCAGACGACACCGGTTATATTAAAAAGCTATGTCATATTCTCAAAGTAAAGACCCCCCCCCACCCCCACTTAAACAGCAATGGCTCTTAAAGGACTCAAACTTTCCCTTAATAAACAAATGCCAGTGCAGGAGGTGGAGCGGCCGGAGAGAGGAGCAGTGACACAGCGCTATGCAGCACGACACAAGAATAATTCTCACAGTGTTCCTCTAATAGCTATTGTCTGGGCAAATAAGTGGGAGTGTGTGCAGCATGAGTGTGTATGTGTGTGTGCTGACATGACTACCACTGTTAAAAGGTTCAAGAGTTTTGGAGCACATGCTGTGGTGGGTGGGAGATGGTGTGTGTGTGTGTGTAGGAAGGGGAATACTTAAAACTGCATTCGAACAGCTCTCCGCTCTTTAGGTTGTATATCCTCTTACACAAATACACACAACACTTGCTGTTTGTATTCCCTGGCTCTGCAACTAAGATTTAATTACGTCATTGATCATTTTACATAACGTTTGATTAATTAATAAATCGTTCGGCGTATGAAATGTCAGAAATCAGGGCTGCAACTTGTGAATACTTCCATCAACAGTTAATCTATATATTATTCTCTCCATTAATTGTTTTTGTTCGTAAAATGTCAAGGGCAAAAAAAAAAAAGTGAAAGACAAACATCACATGACAACTTCTCAAATGTGAAATATTCAAATTGTTTTGTCCCATCAACAGTTAAAACACAGAAATATTCACTTTCATTTACAACAGACAAAAACAAGCAGCACATGTGTGGAACATTTGGTGTTTCTGCTTTTAGGGAGGTGATTGATTTCCAACTACTAACTAGTCTGGTGAGTTCATCAGCTGAGCAGTTCATCGACACCATGTTTGAGCTTCAATGTCAACGTCTGCTCTGTTGGGTCCAAAACCAAAAATCATTTGAAACTGAGAAAATCTGAAGATCTTAACGTTTCAGATGCTGAACACAGCAGACGTTCGTTCTTTTTCCTTAATGACTCGCAAACCTTCCATCAAACACGACTGTTGTCGATTAACTTTCTTGTGATCGAGTACGTGACGATGATCAACTACTCCTCTCAAGAGTTAGTGCAGACCCACACAAACACACCCTCTCCCTCTTACCCCTCTTGTGGCAGGTCTTCAGCAGGTGGCCGGTGGGTTTGTAAGGGACCCCGGCGAGTTTGGCCCCGGTGCTGCCCAGCCTGGCTCGGCCCAGGGGGCTGCCGTTCTGCTCCAGCCGGAGCAGCTTGGCCGGCGGGGCCTTGGCCTCGGCCATGCTGTTGACCAGCTCGGAGTTCTCCTTGCCCAAACACGCCTCGCTGAGATGGTCCATCATTCTCAGCACCTCTGCTCACTATCACCTGGGGACAGAGAGCGATTCAGCTGTCAGGGGAGAACAGGTCGCAAAAAACATTTCCCGTTGATGTCACTGACATGTGAAGACGCGAATGGACGTTTTTATACAGCAAAAAATAAAAAGTGCTTTAAGTAACTGAGACCTCTGAGAACAGACCCATCATGGCAGTAACTGTCAATTCGCTTCAGAAATGACAACTCAGGCCGCGGTGACGTTCTCGTGCCACTGTAATGTTCCCATTTTTCAATGCATGTATTATGTATGGGTGTCCCGCTAGAGATTCCCATGCGAGAGGGGGCAAACAAGCCCTGGTTTTAGTGCAAACACATTAATTTGCTGCGAGATTCCACTTGAATGAATACAGTGCAGTTTAAGGAACAAGGTTCTGCTGCTGCGGTGCACGCAGAGACAGAGAGGAGGGGGGGGG